AATCACCTTCCAGAGCTGAGGCACAGGTGCTGCCACACGGTTTGTGTGACAAGGGACTCACTCCATGCTGTGAGATAACACATCCTGTTATGTGGAGCACATACCCAAAGGCACATCAGAAATCATGGAATGTTTGGGTTGGGAGAGACCCCAAATCCCAGCTCATTCCAGCCCTGCCATGGGCAGGGACACCATCCACTGTCCCAGGCTGCTCCAGCCTGGCCTTGGACACCTCCAGGGATGGGACAATCTCTGTGCTAAGGAGTAAAGCATCACTTAGCCAGGGTTTCCCTTTGCAAGAACAAACACAGGGCTGTCTTTGCTTCCAGGACCTTTTCAGAGGCTCTTGCCTTTCAGACAAGCTGTGGCCATGGTGCCTGCCAGCAGCACCCAGCACTGGCAATGTGCTCAGATCCCTCAAAAAAAGGGGGAGACCAAAATAAAAAAAATGAGTCCTATCTTTGAGCAAATTTTGTCAAGTTTGCCCCATGAGTCCAGCACGGGGTTAACACTGAGAGGAAAATGACTCTGCTCCCAGGGCAGGAAGGAGCCTGGCTGGAGGAGCTGTGCCCCACAAGGGCAGAATTCCCAGAACTCCCTCCTGCCTCTGCCTGAATCCAGCTCCCAGTGCAGAACTCACATGGTCACACTGCCAAAAGGCAAAACTGAGCAGAAACCCCAGTCCCAGCCCTGTTGTGCTGACTATTCTTCACCAACTCCATGTGAAAAATTCCCCACATTCAACAAGACCATCCCTGCAGAGTTCTATTGTCTCCAATTATTAATTAAACATGCTCTGAGAGAAAGCAAATGCCTAAAATCATTTACTTCTACCAAGCAACTCCCACACTACCAGAGTGCAATTCTGACAGCCTGAGCACATCCAGTGCCTGCAATTCCAGAGGGACACACCACAGAGCTCTCCCTTCACTCCAGTTCAGGCACACACACACACCAGCCACAGGACACCCCAGCCAAGAAAACCCAGCCAATTTTCCTAAAAACCTGCTCAGTGTTGATAACTTGTCCCAGCTGAATATCCTGAGTGTCTTTTCCCTGCCCCCAGGAGCAGCAGAGGCTGTTTGGGTTTGTGAGGAGATCTGTGCAACCTTTCACAACCCAGGCAGACTCAAGGCCATTCCTCACCTGGAGCCATCCTGTGATGTTCTGATCCCTGGCTGTGCTTTTGCAGGATAAACAGCACACAAACATTCCCTCTGCCCAGGCATCAGACAGCCCAAACCTGCTCACCTGAATATTCAAATTACTGGGGACCCTGAACCTCAGCCTCATCCTGCTGCTTTTGGGGGATCAAAAGAGAAAAAATTGCAGTTAAGTGTTTTCCACTGAGGTTTGGTGATGAAGGATCTGGAGCTGCAAACAGCTGGGATTTTGCTCAGGAGATCTGAGTAAAAGTTAAGAAATCAAAAGTCTGATCCCAGCATCCTCAGGGTCTGCAGGTTAAGGCAGAGCCAGGGCAGGCCATTCCTCACCTGAGCCATCCTGTGATGTCCTGATCCCTGGCTGTGCTTGTGCAGCATAAACAGCACACAAACACTCAAACATTCTCTGTGCCCAACACCAACCAGGCATCAGACAGCCCAAACCTGCTCACTCCAATACTCAAATTAACTGAGGCCTGACACTCAGCCCCATCCTGCTGCTTTTGGTGGATAAAAAGAGAAAAAATTGCAGTTAAGTGTTTTCCATGGAGGTTTGGTGATGAAGGATCTGGAGCTGCAAACAGCTGGGATTTTGCTCAGGAGATCTGAGAGATCAAGTAAGGAAATCAAAAGTCTGATCCCAGCATCTGCAGGGACAAAGAAGACATTATCACCAAAAGTTTTTTGTGTGGATGGTGAAGCTTTGACACCTAAATTTGTGAAATAACAGGGGCATCTTCAATTGTTTTATTTTATATAAAAACCTGGCCCCAAACACAGCTTTCAGAGGAGAAAGAAACTTTCTTTGCCTGTTGCATTTCCCCTAAGCAAAACACAAACAGACACAGCATTTTCCTGCTGCTCACAAGGAGAGGACACCACCTGAAGGAGCTCCTCCCCTCCCTTCCTTGGGAGGAACTTTTCCTTGAGCCATCCCTGCTAAAGCCACTCTCAGTCAACTCCCAGAGCTTCCAGGAGGAAAAGTGACCAGGAGGAAGAGCACAATGAAACCCTTGGGAAGTCAGGGTGCTGCAGCTCAGGTGGGACTCACAGCCCTGCTGGCTCTTTAATGCCACCATGAAATGTCAGCATTTGGTAAAAGCCACCTCAGAGTTATCACCAACAGACACACGTCTGTCTACACATGCAACAAAGACAATCTGGGATTCAACAATTAAAATCCTTCCACCTTTAATTACGACCTCCCAAGCTCTAGGCAGACATTAACCTATATTAGCCTATAATTGTTTTTTTTCTGACTTCCCATTATCTTTTAGCTGCTGAGTTTCCTAACCAGTCTTCAAGGCTGGGCCCTCACTGAACCATCTAAAATGTCTAAAATGAAAATACAGTAATAAAAGTGCATCCATAAAAAACAGAGTCAGGAGACATCCCTAATGATTCCCTACCTCCCTGCATGTCCCAGCACTTCCTCCACTTCTGTTCTTGCAGGCCAAATTCAATTCTATCCCAGCTAAACCCAAACTGAATTAAATCATTTTGCATGCATAAGATTAGTCCTTGCTCCAAGGAATTTATAATTTAAGCAGCAGATGTGGAGGTGGCCAAGAAGTCAAGAAGAATGGCAGTGCTAGGATTACACATCCTGCATTCTGCTTCCCAGGAGCCAAACCCTGAGGCAAGCAGAGAGCCATGGAAAAAGAGGGAAGGAGCACCAAACTCTGATAAAAGTGCCCATCAATCACTGGAGCACCAATATCAAACAAGACTGAGGAGAACAGGGTTAGTGCCCACCTCAGAGCTGGCCTGGAAGAAATTACAGGCACAAAGATTGGTTTGGAAATGAGCACTGAATGCAAAACCATTGGAACTACAGCTGTACCCCATTTATCAGAGTGTAAAGGCAGCAGGAAGCAGAGCTCTAAAAACCCCAATAAAAACCCCAAATAAAAGATAAAAACCCCAATGTTAATTCTGGCCTGGTGGGTGTTTGCTGAGCCTCAGCTCACAGAATCACAGGGGAAACTGAGGGCACCACACAGAACCATCTGTGAGCTCCATCCTGCAGTGGGATCTGTCCACACAACCTTCTCTCCACTGTCCACTCTCACCACAGCAACTGCTTTGAAAAGTTCATTTAAACTAGCAGAAGTTAATGAGCTTTCCTTTCATTAAGTGGTTTATTTATTAGGATCATTTCACTCCACAAGTTACTGAAGAAAATCAAGCTGAGCAACTCTTCTGCTGACAACAGGACAAGCCTCTGGAACAGGCAGGATTCTTTTGTTTGAGTGAAAGTTTAAGTTTTTCCATTATTAAATAAATAAAAGTTCAAATACCAGCAGAGTTTTTAATGACTACGAGCTTGGAGTGCCCTGTCCCCACCCCCCTTATCTCCAGAGAGTTTTGTTGTCTTTGCTTTCAGGGATTTGCAGTAAAAGGAGGATGAAAGTGTGAGCTGGAGGAAAAGAGGATTGAGAATTTATGACATCATTTTAATTCATGAAGTCATCTTGCCACAAAATGCCCAAACAATAGCAGGCCCTGCCCAGGCATCTCACCCCAAGACTCTGTGGCTGCTTTGATTTGAAAAACCTACAAGTTTGCAGGAAGAAATTCTTGCTTATGGTTCCCTTCAGAACTCAGAACATTAAGATCTCTGGCACTGATGTCTCTTGAAGCAAGTTTTACAGTTAGTGACTGAAACTTGGATAATAAACAAAAAAATTGTATCTGTTTCAATTAAGTTATTTCTTCTGAATTGATACCTAAATACTACATTTCTCCATAAGGGAATAACAACAATATTTATCCAGCTCTTTAGCTCATATTGCAGCATTTTATGTGATTTTGCTTCCAGAACAAATGAACAGGGCACTTGGGTTTATTTCTTCGTTGATGTACACACTGCCTTCGGTGAGGCTGCAAAATTCCCTGCAATGTTTGCTTTTAAATGCTCTGGTTGGCAACACATCCCCTGGGGAGGCACAGCAGAGGAGCCAGGGCTTGGCCACTGTGATTCCAGAAACTGGAGGCAGGAGATGTTCACAAAGGTTGCAAAAGCTTTGTGTCTGCTGCCCTGGCAATATTTGTGGGGATCACTCTGCTTTAAAATGTGCTTACACTTGGGTTCTGTGCCTGGGAGAGGAAACCCTCGTGTGTCTCTGATGAGTGAGCTGCAGGTCACAGGCAGAGTGGAGTGAGTCAGCCACTCATTAAACTGCAGCACGAGTGACAATGCAACTGCTGAAAAGACTTCTAGTAAACAGCACTAGCACACAGCCTGGCCCACCACCCCTCTAGAGACTGAGTGGCTCTAACAAGTTCCTAAACCACTGCTTGGTGACACTCTTAAAGCTGCTCTTCTCATCATCACCACCTTCCCCTGTACATGAGAACCATAAAAACCCAACCCCAAAGCAAAGAAACCCAGTCAAACATACCACCAGCACCTTCCACTCCTGTGTTTTCCAATATTGGGAATGGTAAAAGCCCAACCTACATGCATTGGCAGTTTTGTAATACCATTACATAAGAATTATTTAACTACAGCAACAGATTTGAAAAGCAGCAGCAGCAGCAGTCACGGCTATGCTGGTTCACACATCAGAAAAAAAAAAATCAATAAAGGGAGTGATGAATTTTGTAAACATGCATTCGACTGTGACCGGGAGTGGATTGGGATTTGGGATTTCAACACCCTCAAGAACAGAAACCTTTCAACTCAGAGCTACCAGGGCACCGCCACCCTGAAAAGAGAAAACAAACAGCACCGCTGTGGCCACTCCACCAGCTCCAGCTTTAGAAGAGCACCACGAAAAGCATCTCTGAGAAGGCTGCAGGGCTGAGCTGGGAAAGCTGGGAGTGGTTTTCTACCTGATGCTCTGCATGGATGTTGTCCCCGGTGGGCCAGCGGTGTTTGCTGTTGTTGTAGCCGCCGCCGCCGCTGCCTCCTCCCCCGAGCTGCTCCCCGTGCTGCCTCTGGAAGAAATAATCCACCATGGCGTCGTCCTGGGAGCGCCCCGCCACTCCTATGGAGCCGGGCACGGGGCTGGAGTGTGTCCCTGCTGCAAGGGCCTGGTTTGCAGCTGGCTGTGGCTGAGCCTGCGAGCCTGTGCCAGATGTCAGTACCACAGGCATGGTGGGGTTGGCTGTGTCTTGAGCGTGCTGCTTCAGGTGGGGGCTGAACGAGTCCTGCCACAGAACTGCTTTTCTCTTCAAAACGCACGCTACGCTCATTCCACCAACACCTGCAGGGGGACACGGGGGAAAGAGAGGGGAAAGAGACATGAAATCCTCCCAGCTGCAGCTCTGAGCATTAATAACACGCCCATCTCGTGACTGGCAGGGGAACAGCGCTGTGGCAAAAGTGACTCCTCCAATATTCACTCACCCCGTGAACCCAGAA